CACAATAAGCAGTAGCAGTCTATTATTACTACAGTTTTACAGATGAGAAAGTTGAATCTTTCAAAAGCTTATATGGCCAGGGATATAGCTCAGCAGTATGAGTGTCTGCCTGGCAAGTACAAGGTCTTGAGTTCAATTCCCAGTACCGGAAAAAAAAAAAAGCTGATATGATGGATGTGGAAGCATAGTGGGTCTTCCGTATTCATGGACTCCAGATCAGAAGATTCAACCAATCTTGGATTAAAAATATTTTTATAAAACACTGCATCTGTACTGAGCATGTGCAGACCTTTCCTTCTTTTTATCATTCCCTAAACATACAGTATAAAACTATTGACTACTGATATTGTATTTGGTATCATAAGAAACCTAGAGTTGATTTAAATTATGTGGGATGATTGCATAATTTAAGTAAATACTATGCCATTTTCTTTAAGACACTTGATTGTGTGTGTGTGTGTGAGAGAGAGAGAGAGAGAGAGACAGAGAGACAGAGAGAGCCTAGGGACTGAGCCCAGGGCCTTCACACTGAGTTACATCCCCAAACCTTCTTTAACTTTTTATTTTGAGACAGGGTCTCTCCAACTCGCCCAGGCTGAGAATGAACTTGTGATTCTCCTCCTTCAGTCTTCAAGAGTGTTGGAATCACAGGTGTGCACCACCACACCAGCAAAAAGACTTGAATATCCGAAAATCTTCGTACCACTGAGGCACCCTGGAACCAAAGCCCCATGAATACCAGGATGTGACTATACTTTGGAAGCTATAAGTGTAGTACAAATGTTACTAAAGTTAGCAGTAAAAAATAAAAAATAAAGTTAGCACTGACCACAGTGAAAATTGAATGCATTTAGTCACCACAACAGACCAGAAATATGAGGTAGAAAAATGAAGGGAGAGGTTAATGTGATTATGAACAACCTGTACAAAATATCACAGCCAAATTCAGCAGTGCCAACATCGTGTTATCAAAATGGAGCCTATAAAGACAGCCAAGTGGTGTGACCATGTTTCCCCATCCAGGCAGCCAGCTGCCAGAGAAGCATCTGAGCTCACAGTCATGAATAGGCAACTAAGCCACCACAGAGAAATGACCCATGCATTCACCAGCCCCCTGGAAACCCAGAAGGGTGGGGACTCTCCCAGAGCCAGGTTTCATAAGGATTGCTGGCAGAGGACAGAAATGTGAGAGACAATGCCAGGCGTGGTGGCGCATGCCTGTAATCCCAGCACTCAGGAGGCTGAGGCAGGAGGATCATTGTGAGTTCGAGACCAGCCTGGGCTACAAAGTGAGCTCAAGGCCAGCCTGAACTGCAGAGCAAAACCCTATCTCAAAAAGACCAAAAAAAAAGAAAAAAAAGAAAAGAAAAAGAAAGAAAGAAAGGTGAGACAGCAGCCATACAGGTGTCCACAGAGATGCCCACTAGTTGAATCACAAGTTCAATGCTCACCCTTGAGGTAAGAAAGATGTTGTGGAAAATCCACGAACCCTCCCAAAACAGCCAGATAATCAAAAGAATAAAGGTACTCTTTGCAAAAGCACATTTAGTGAACACATAAGGTTTAGGCTGACTGCTTCCATATTTCCCATTGTCTTCTATTTATTTAATATTCAGCTCCTAAAACCATTCTCCGCCCACTCACGTGTAGACACAGTTAGTTTGCTAGGATGGTGTGTGAAGAGGCTGCCACCAAAACGACCAGCACTAGAAACCCCAGGCTACCTGCAGTTGGTCCTAGAAGCATCTTAACAATCCTAGACAGGACCCCTCCTATAGGGTCATGCCGGCCACTTTCCATCCAGTGTCAGAGTGGTCTTACAACTTCTGCTTGCACAAATGCAAAGACAGGACACTCGCTGCTGCTTGAAGGAACATGTGGACATTTCGGAAGATCCTCAGCCAACCCCTCCCTGCTGCACTGGTCTCTCGGCTAGGACCATCTTTCAAAGACTGTCTTCAGTGAAGCCCAGGAACACGACCCCTCCTCCCCAATCAAAATTAACCCCCACGTTGCCTTTGCCCTTGTTTATAGCATGAGCAACTACCTGTGTTCAGCTTGTTTTGTTACTGTCTCCTCCACTGAACTATGAGCTCCTTAAAGGCATAAACTGAGTTTTCTCCCAATACCTGACCCAAATAGATAAAATCCTTTTGTTAAAAATGGAATTCTTAAACCGCGCATGGTGGTGCATGCCTGTAATCCCAGCACTTGGGAGGCTGAGGGACGAGGATCATTGCGAACCTGAGGCCAGCCTGAACTGCAGAGCTAGACCCTGTCTCAAAAAAGACCAAAAAAATGAAATTCTTTAACAACACCTACCAAGCTTCCTCTGCCGCCTAACTGCTGAACACGCCTCTCAGAGCATCAGCCAACCCTCCAATGGCCTCACCCCAGATGCAGTTCTTAGCATTTCCAAACCCATGGAGGTGGGGCTGAAAGCAACGGTTTCAGCATCCCAGGTCAACTTTCTTATCCAGCCCTCTATCCCTGCAGTTCTCAAACACAGTCATGCATCATGGTCATGGTCATGGTCATGGTCATGGTCTCATCCCATCCTTTACCTCTCAGTTCTCAGACACGGTCATGAAGCCCTCTGTGGGGTTTAAAACAGATTTCTGGACCCTCCTCCGTGTTTCTAATTCTGTGGGTCTGGGAGGGATTTGAGAGTTTGCTCTTCTAACACATCCTCAGGGCTGCTGATGTCTCCTGTCCTGAAACCACATGTCGAAAACCACGGTAGCAAAGTACTTCCCTGATGATAGTTTTTGAAGCATATTCCTAGCCACAGGGCTGAATTTCACACGGGACAGGATGGACATAGAGAGCTTGGGCGATTGTCTGCCTTTTCTTACCACCCAAGAAGTCCACAGCTATTTCAAGCAACATCCAGGGCCCTGTCCTTGGAGGCACATGAAGAAGCTCCAAGCCCATCAAACTCAGCATCTCCACTCTTTGTCTAACCTCCGCCTATACAGAATGCTCACTCCTTATCAACTCAGACTATCTGGTCTTCAGTTATTCCTTGCATTGAGTAACTCCCCACCTCCTACCTAGGACTGCCAGATAAAATTCAAATTCAGTTTGAATTTCACATAAATAACGAATAATTTTTTAGTACGTCTCATTCCAAGATAGTTATTTTTATTTGCTAACTCTGGCAATTCTACATTCCTACCCATGAGGGCTCCAGGTGCTGGAGCCAAATTCCTGCCAACATGCAGGCAGGCAGTTGAGCCTCTGTCTCAACTAAGCTACATCCTCTCCTTCGAAAAAACCATTCTAGCCAAAATCAAGAGCAGAAAGAGCCTCAAGGAATACACTTTGTCAGAGCTGCATGAAAGTCTGGCTTTACAGCTAGACCAAAGCTTGTCCTTGTCAGGAAAATGATCTTCCACAAGGCTCTCCAGCCACAAGCCTCCTTGCCCTTGAGGCAGATTCATGCCGGAGCCCCACCTGCTCAACCATTCACAGCCACACAGTAGGGAAATGTTAGATCCACAACTGAAATCCACTTCTGCTTCCCATGCTGGAGCCTCTTCATTTCAAGAGCTATCTACTAAAAGGTAACCCCAGGACCCTAGCGCAGGTGCTAGGTGGTGGGCAAGTCTTGTCATTGCCAATTCCAAATACCATGTACAGAAGCATCCTATATATGTCATATTTGTCCCTCTTAGAAATCCCCTGGCCTAAACAGAGACCAGAGAGGGGAGGCATCTTACCACTTCAAGTTGAGAGCAGAGCTGCACAAGACTTTCACTCTACTGACCTCTACTCAGACCTCATCCCACCCTATTGGGACATCTTCTAAACAAAAGGAACTACTGGTGAATTAAAACCACAGAGGCACCTCATTTTTCTCCCGTGACACTAGCAACAATACAAACTTCTAACATCAAGCATTGGAGAGGATATCTGCTATGGCTTGTGACTAGATGCCCCTCCAAAGCCTCATGCACTCATACGGCTGGCTTTTTGGAGGAAGCTGGGTCTAGGATGTGTGATCCTGGGATTAAGGATGCGTGATTACTAACTTAACCCATTAGGTGGCTAAGTATATTTCAGGGTGTGGATAATGGGAAAGCCCCTCTCCTCCAGGTATGAGTGGCACCACCCAAAAGGTGGGTAGCCTGAAAGGGATAAAAGGGAGAGGCGTCTGCTGCTGCTGTTTGCTGCTTGCTGCTTTGTTGTCTTCTACCTTCCCTGCCACACCATGGACTGTTTCTCCTCTGCAATGCCCCTCATCCATGCCACCCTACCTGGGAGCCAACCGACTATGGACTGAAACCTCTCACAAACTGTGAGCTGAAATAAATTCTTCCCCCTTTAACTTGTGGTATTGGTTGTTCTGTCTCAGCAATGAGAAAAGTAACTAAGACAATGTCACAGTGTTGTACTCCTCTTTGCTGACGGGTGTGTGGGGGGGGAATATACATGTAAATCACCAGAGTGACTTTGGAGAGCCATTGGTAATACTTAGTAAAACTGCAAGTGCACATACCATGCAACCTAATAGTTCCACTCCTGGTGACACATCCCCACAGAAAGTCCAGAGCGCAGTGAAATCCAGAGCAAAGATGTTGACTGCAGACTTGTTTGTCCTGGTGAAAACTCAGAAATAGCCCAAATATGCAACAAGATGGAAATGAGAAACAAGACGTGGTCTATCCACATGACAGAATACCTTGCAGCAGATAACATGAATAGATTAGAGCGAAATGTGTCAACAAGAATAGAGGTAAAAGCGGCCTTACGGGGAAAAGCAAGATGTAAAGGAATACAGAGCAAAGCTATAAATGTTGAAGGCATTCCCACAAAACAATACTATGTACTTATTATTTGTCACATATATGCATGTGTGAAAAAATAAATGGTTTGCAAAAAAGTTAGTTTAAAAGACAAGCTGCTCATGAAAGTCATGATAGTGCAGACTCTAGAAAGGGGTAAAGATTAAAATTTGAGACTGTCAGTCAAAGACTACATCATCTATAATGTTTTACCTCTTTTATGAAGCACATAATTGAAGTAAAAGTAACATTTTCATAGTTGTCACCCCAAGTGTGGACATGTCGATTTGTTACTTTTGTATTTTTCTTTTGTTTTAACTTCCTAAAAAAAGAAAAAGACAGAAAAGCTATTCTGAGGTGCTGACCTCTGAGGTCCCCAGAGCATACATGACTAACCAAATGGTGTTTCTCAGATTTTAATAATTCATAGTCTGAGTAGAGGCGCAAGTGTGGGAAACGCTCCATCCTTATGGGAGTGCGTACGAGCGCATCCAACACAGGCTAAAACATCACTCCTTCTATTCTCACTAGAGATGACCTGGGGTTTGAGCGAAAAGGGAGAGGGCTTAATGCACTGAACACTTCTCTCAATCTACTTTAGAGAGGTGGAGGGGAACTCTCACCTGTTTCAATAATTCACCAGAATCTCAGCGTGACAAGGTGAAGAACCTTCCAGAGGCATGGCTGCAAGTCCAGCAACAACTCTGGCCAGCATTAGGTGAGAGCTCATCGCAAGAATAACTTCGTCCTGAGATTAGTAAGAAGAACATAATCCCTTATGATTATGAGAGGCAAAACCCAAATGTGCAACAAGTCACATGCAAATCCTGTGAAAACGGACACTTTTCAGTGGAAGAGTCTGTTCTTAGCATGTAGAAGGCTCTGGACTCAATCTCTAACATGGCAGAGAAAATGTGGATCCTTCAGCAGGTCTGGGGGAGGGAAGGTGGGCTGGGGTTACTGAAATGCTGCATTTCCACCAAGATGCCAGATGTTACAGATACTACTGGTCCCCCGTCGATACTTGGAATAGCAACTCTCTGCACTGTTTACTGGCCACCACTTGGTCCTTCTGCTTCCCCATCTTACTTAAAAATAAAAACACAAATATCATTGATGATATCTGAGAACATTAGTGTCAGGAGAACCTGGAATATCTAACTTGTCTGTCCTAGGGAGAGCAGCTGGGGACCTTCATCAAAGGTCACGGGTTTTGCAAAGCAAGTGAAAGAGAAAGGCTCAGAACAAAAAGCAGAGCTGAGTAACAATCCAGCCCAGCTTTCAGGATTTCTCAGACTCAGGATTCACACACAGTGCTAGAATGGGGAAAGTCCCAGGCAAACCAGAAGATGTTGGTCACCCTAGCAAAACTCAGCTTGGAAGACTAATCTGTTGCCACAGAAATGGGAATGTGATTTTCTTTGGGAAGGAGGCAGGGGGATGGGGAAGCTGACTGGAAAGATGCCAGAAGTTATTGATGTTGTTGGACCACAGACCACACTTCCTGAGGAGGAATGTCCTGTGGGAGAATATATATGTTGGTCACAGAGGTGTACACAAGAGATAGAATTTATCACACTTACGATCTGTGCATTTTATATATGTAAATTATACCTCAGCGAAAATATCTAAAACAAAACCAACCTGGCTCACCAGCTTTACTAAGCTCTAATCTAAATTTTGGCATCACGGGCCTACAGGAAACTGTAGAGAGGAAAAACTGAATCTGACTATCTGGCCCAGGTGTGCATCCTTTTCATGTGCAGTGGCCACACCCCAGTAACCATGGCTCTTCTGGGAAACTTCGACTTGCCTCACTTAATAATGCACCCTTCTTTACAGGGAGAAGTCTAATTATGAGGGGGTCAGAGAGGAGAAGGTGTTCTTCTCCCTTCATAGCGGCCATCTTAGAAGGGTTGTGTAATTACTGAGAGGCTATGTGGGAGGTGGAAATGTCACCAAACCCTGTCCTTGGAACTGTTCCTTAAGGCTGTCCCTCCCAGCTCTGCTTACTCTATGGCCACTCCTTGCCCTGCACTGTGGGAACAGCTGCCAGAGGCCACAGACCTCAACACGCCACACAACCACCTGGAGACATCACAGAGCACAGAGCTTCCGATCCAGCAGGGTTGGGTAGGACTCGGAGATATGAATTCCTAACAAGGCCACAGGTGACACTGCTGGCCCAAAGACCACACTTTGAGAACGATCAAGGCAGACTCTCAACAAATATTTGCTAGGTAGATAAATAACCAGCTCTAGAAGCGGAGTCCTGCTGGGACTCTTGTCCTAATTCAGCAGCTCTCTTACTGGGAGATAGTTTTTAGGCGAACCGTTCTCACATTCGGAGACCCAGCTTACTCATTTGTAAAGTAGGATAATAGGGAACTCAGAACTACGGGGTATGTCCAAGAATGTTTTCTTGAGAACCTTTGGAACCTATTACTGCCTGGAAGCCCTCCAAATCCATGACCCACTCCCCAAATGCGTAAGAATTTAACACCCTCTGGACTCCTGCAACCATAATCACTCACGGGACTCTTGAAAAGCATATTGCATCATGTGGGAGGGCGTATACGTTCTCTCAACTTGCTCAAGTATTCAGACCCTGTGCTCCATTCCAGGGCTTCTGAGATGGGGGAAGATAGTCACTCCCAGGCTAGTGGGACACAGATATGGCGGTCAATGTAGGGACAGAGCACAGAGCTCAGAGCTCAGCGTCACCAGCTCTGCTGGGGAAGATTCCTGTTGGAAGACTGAAGGATGAGCAAGAGTCCCTCTGGTGTGCACTGCCGTGGGCTTCCCCGAGAGGCCCATAAACACCCCAGCTTAGGGACCCGCCCTCCTCCTGGGAGCACAGGTGTGTGCATACAACAGATGCTCAAAAACGTGTAATCACTGACTTAATAGGTCTGGCTCCTGCAGTGCCTCCTGGGAGCAGTGTCTTGTCTGACCGCAGCCCAAGAAATCAAAAAAGAACATTCAATACCTTCCCTGCTCTAAGGAACAAGACCAATATTTGTTTACACAGCGTTGCAGGCAACCGCCTCCTGTGTGTCAATGGAGAATTTCCTAGTTAGAGCAGAAGTAAAGGGGAAAAGGCTCCCTACTCATGTGAAGATTTGCCTCCATCTTAGCCAACATCTGGCTGCGACCTGCCCCACTGAGGCCGCTCCTGGGCCACTGGCCCTGATCATTGTCTCCCTGAAGCCTGGGGTCCCAAACAGTTCTTGCATATTAAAACCCCTAAACCTCATTCTTGATGAACCTTGGAAATAAATGGAGGAAAGAGAGCTCTTTTGGAATCAAGCAGACTGGCCTAAGGTTAAGACCGAGCAGTGGCATTTATGACCCATGGGATCCAAGTCAGTTATTTCACCCATTGGCCTCAACTTTCCCATCTGTGAAATGGTAAAAAAAAAAACTGGCCATCTCTCAAGAGAGCCAGCAAAATTAAAAGAGGGCAGGTTTGGTAAAGAGCCTGCCTCCAGTTTATAGCCATTGTCGCTGCCTCTGTCTCTCCCGCTGCCATATGAAGAGCCAAGGTGATTCAACAGGAGCCTCCTTTGGGTTCCCTTCCTGCCCTCCCCTTGCTGCCTTCTGTAAGGCCAAGCAAGCACTGGAAAGCAGGTTTGTGAAGGTCCAAGTCCTCTCAGCTCTTCTTGCCATGACTCAACCTTGGCAGTGAGGTTGGAAGTCTCACAAGCAGAGCCTGTTCCCCGACATTTCAGATCAAGAGTAATTCACATACTTCTCAGCTGCATGAGGCCGGCATCCATGGCTCAGGAACTTTGGGGCTGCCCCTATCTTGTTTTCAAGGGCCTTACTCATTTCTCACAGGGGATAGCACTTTGCAGAACACCTCATATGCCTGATCTTATTTGATCTGCTCACCAATCCTGCCAAGGAGGAAATGAACATTCAGACCAAATCAATGGCCCAAGATGACCTAGTGGGTAAGTGGCAGAGCTGGGATTTGAACTAGGACTCCTTGGCTCACAAGCCTCACTTCTTGTCACCCATTAACGATGCAAATAGGGATAACACCTCTGTTCCCTTAGCTATCAGATCTGTCCTCAGCATGAGACAAGAGCTAGGTCAGCCCCTGGACAATGCTCTGGGAATCTTCAGCATCCACTGTTTGTGCAGTCCAGCTGGTGGGGGAGACCAGAGCACCCCACACTGAAACCCACCCCCAGATAAGCCTCCCTGGACAGGTTCCTGACCCCACTACCACAGGACAGCTCCTCCGGTCACTGACCCTGGGACAGCTGTGTTCTACCAGGCTCAGCTCTGGGGCTGATTGGCAGACAGAGCTGGACTGACACCCCAGACAGATCTCCAGCATGAATGCCACTAGCAGAGGCACCAAGAACAGAATCCACCACACCTGCCCTTGCCTCCTGACGTCCTCTAGCCTGACCCACCTTCCTCCATTCCACTCTTTCCCAGACCTCTGCCTAGAAAACTCACCTCCATGTCCAACCACTTCCCCCAAAGGTCAGCATCTCTACCTTGTCTCAACCAAATCTCTCTGGTCCCCAGAACTCCCACTCCCTTGCAGCCCACTCCAGCTGAGCTTCCCCTCCCCCATGTATATACCTTAAGGTCCGAATGAGCAGTAGGCATCCTCTTTGCTCCTGCATAAGGCAGGCTCACTTCAGGTCAAGCCATCTCTTCAAACCCTCCTCCTCACCATCCTCCTCCTGAAGACCTTCCCCCTACCTAGGGCTCAATTTCTTTCCCCACCCTAATTAAGTCCTGGAACCTCTGGAGCAGGGATACTCAACCTCAGCACTATCAACACTAAGCCAGATCATTCTTTGTGGAAGAGGCCATTTTATGTCCTGTAGGATGTTTAGCAGCTTCCCTGGCCTCTAACCATTAGATGCCAGCACCACCACATACCCTCGGTGTGACAACCAAAAATGTTTCCAGGCACTGTCCAATGTCCTGCAGAGACACAAAACACTCGTGGTTGAAAAGAAACTGGTCTAGAACAACATCAACATCCACTGGGACCCCAGGTCCAGTACCGTTGATGTCCACCAGACTGCATCCTTCTCTTGGTATGGTTGCTTGCCTTCTGCACTGCCAGTGTCACCCAGGATGCAGAAGGAAGGGCAAGTCTGAATCTAGGCAGACTGATTCCAGGCCCAAGGTTTAACTCACTTCACTCAACCATCACCCAGTGTGTCTCCCTCACGGTGCACAACAATCTGTAACTGAATTATCTGTTAACATTTCATCCTATTCTCCAGTGTCCTTGCTGCATCCTCTCCTAGGACATAAACTCTTGAAGGCAGTAACTCCTCTACTTTCCTACTGTGCTATCCCTGACCCTAATGACATACCTGGCACAGAAAACAGGTATGGACTCAAGTGAAATAAATCAGACACGTGTTTAAATATCACATTGTTTCTCTGGTGTGAGAAGCTGAAAGGGTAAATAAGGACCAAAATATGTAATAGATATTGTGAAATAGGAAACGATGTTCAAATGGGAAGGGGAACAATGGAGAGATGGGAGTAGGAAGGAAGGGAAAGGAAAAGAAAAGAAAAGAAA